TGGTGGTTGATTGATTAATTGCACACCCTTTCCCAACTGATCAACTGCCAATCTAAATTCATTATCATCTGGTGGCCACTTTTCACGAACTGTAGGTAGTAGTTTTGTGATGATCATGTTTCTGTATGCATCTTTGTTAACAACTGTTATTAGGTTTAGTTCTGGTGTGCCCTTAGATCTGTTTTTTCTTTTCCTTTCTGCCTGCACCATTTGAACAAAAGGCAACATCCCTATCTTCCCATCAAAACTACATTCACCTACCTCATCGAGCCTAAGCCTAACAACTACACATAAGAACATTACTTTCTCTACGAACCTTTTGCTTTGGCTGTTCTGTATGGTTGCATTTCACTGGGTACTAGATAATAACTTCTGGCTACCTTTGGTTATAAAGAACCATTTCTCGTCTATGTGGATTATGTTGAACATATCATCAACCACTGGACTGTCTGCCATTGACTCTACTTTGAGGTGTGATAAGCACCATTGCAACCTACTGATTTTGTTATCAGGGGTTAAGAATGGCTTAATTGCATTTGAGTGAGGCTTGATTTGTCCCCTCTTCACTAATCTAGATATAGTTGATGCAGGAACACCCAAAGCTGTTAGAGTGCTTCTAATAGAACTCATTTGATGGAATGGAAGGGCTGACAATGTGGCCATGTCCACTATTTTGGGCTTCCTTCCACACCTTCCCTTTCCGTTGGAGTTATGGTTGACGGATTCTCTTGCAGCCCTGCATGTTTGTGACACTTTCCATATCCTGTACATTGTTCGGCGATAGATGCCAAAAACATTCTTAGCTTATGTGAATCCACCTCGCTTGACTCTTCCATTGACTGTCCTTTGATTGAGGAATTCCAATACAGCTGCATGATTTGCAGGTTTTAGGTTGGACTTTTTGGTTGGCGTCGCTGTTCGGATTTCTGACCTGGAAATGTCACTTTGGTCTTGGACGGCTTGGAGATAGCAACCACAACAACACCCCTGACTGTTGGAAGGCTTCCAGAGAGTAACTAGATCAAAACATCCTCTATGATGACAAGCTTTACCTGTTTAATGGCCCTCTCGATGATGACAACAAGTCTGAGAGGTCTTCCTTAGCTTGAGAGGCGTGTACTTCATCTACGAATCCACCATTTTTTTGGACCAAAGTCATTGGTCAAGGCATTGTATTTATAGAAGTGTCAATTTTTGGAATTGTTGTGACTCCAAAAGTGAAAATTTGGCGCCACTTGTTGGGCGTATCTTCTTCTACGAATAGCTACAGTGCATCATCCGTTTTTTCTTATGCGTAGTGGCTACAAGACAACATTGTAATGGTTTTCGTTTTTGCTACAGTGCTCATTCTAAAGGGTTTTCAGTTATGCTATACTTCATTATTTACTCATCTACAATGTTTTTTATTTTATCTACAATACACCTATATTTCTTCTTAAACTACGTAAAAAGCCTAATGGGTCATCTAAATAGACAAGGAGGGAATATATGTGTGCATGATCAATAATTGTGCGTGCACAGACAATAATTTTTGTGATCAAAATGTTACTCCCTCCGTCCCAATTTGATGTTTCTGTGGTGCTTTATTTTGATTGACCGACGATAAAGCAAACGTGACCCTGTCTGCACTCAGAGTATTTGTACCAAATAGACTTTATATATTCAGAAACTACATTAGAACCGTTACAAAGACTGCAAAAAATAATTCAAATTTCATAAAATTTTGATATAAAAAGCAAAAGATTAAGAGTGATTTAAGTTGACCAAGTGAATATGAACTGAGAACATCAAATTGGGACGGAGGTAGTAATTTTTAGTTAGATTTTACTACGTATCATACAAACAATAATTGTATTGTTCATAGATAATAAAGGTCTGTATGAATTATGATCTATTTTAGTTGTTTATTTGATCAATTTGAATTATTTGAATTTTGAGTAAACAAAATATGTCACTAGTATTACTTTATGCGCTAAAGTAAATGATGTAAGAACTAAGAAGTAGCTGTATGTGTGACCAATTTAAATGTAGTTTGAGAAAAATGAAAAAAATAATAAAAAAAGTTTGATGGAGAGAAATAAGCTGATTTTGTGCAAGTAATGAAAAAAATTGATGCACTATATCTCGTTGAATTATCTTTCAACTCTTCTTTTTTCGTTCGTTCCAAAATAATTCCCTCTTTGTTTTGGCAAAAAATTTGATTCACAACATTTCTCAAACATTTTTACACATGTTCTCTCTTCTGCACAACTCTCCACCACAATTCTTAATTGCTGTGCAAAACTCCTTTTGAAAGCTAATTGAGAGATAAAGACAATATATATAAAAGGTAGAGAAGAAGATGATGGAGAAAGGAGGGTGATTAAACATACTTCAAAATTATTATGTCCCATTGTATTAAATATACTTCTCCATTGTACGGAATATAAATGAGTATAATATAATTATATAGATGAGTATACAATTTACATTTAAAAACTTATTTAAATCTCACTAGTTTGAAAATTTTGAGCATACTTACATTGAGAGAGTGAATTATGATTGAAGCTTGAGGTAAGCGACAAATAATATGAAACGCAAATTTAATTTTAAAAAGGAAAATCGTAATATTTAGAGGAGTTTTTTTCAAAATTAATGCTAAATAATAAGGTATTTACATAATTATGGTTTGGTTAAAAATATATACCAAACTGCTGCTAGAGTAACTAGGGTTAGGAAAATGAACGAAAACTGCCAACTCATGATTTTAAGTACCGAACAACAGCAACACATGGGAAGCAGTAAGCTTGTGAAAGTGGGACCCCCAGTTTCAAAAAATCTTTTTTTATAAAAATTTATATAACTTTTTTATTTACCATCTGAATTTTATAAATAATATATCAAAATTTATAACTTTTTATTATCTTTCATATGAGACCTATAGTGAATATATAAAAATAAAAATAATTATGAAGACACAATTCATGTATGATTTTAGGTTTAAAATTTTTCTTGAGTGGATTAAGGTTCTAAAATTAAGATTTCACGTTTCTATAGCACAACTTCAAGCTAGAACTATGGGACATTTAATTTTATTTATTTGCTAAAAATGTCACTAGAAAATGCTTGTGGTAGTTATTTATTTTGTTGATTCAATTTGAGTAGTTTGAAAAGATGCAAACTCAATTAATGACTTACGTTTAAAATTCAAAATACAAAGGTTAGCAACATCGGCTAATAAGCCGGAAGGCTAGGTGGGACCCAAAATATAAGAAAAAAATCTTTTCTTCAACTTTGCTATAGCTATTACTCCCTCATCCCCTTATATTGTCATGTTTTACCTTTTCAAGATGTTCTCCCTAAAATTGCCTCATATCATAGTTGGTAAAGTTTGTGCGGTTCTAAATCATTTTTACTTTATTCTTACTTTATCAATTAATATCAATCGCACAAACCCACTTTTCTTAATAATCGTGTCAACCTCTCCCGTTCCAATATAAAAGGGACGGATGTAGAATATTAGTATCTCGATTTCCACAAAAAAATCTTAATACTTTATTATTTTGATGGGTTCAGTATCTTTTCATAATTTTTCATTATATTTCATAGGAAAAATTGACAAGAATAATCTCACCTTTCACTGGTCTTCTCATTATAATCCTACCTTTATGTAATCCCAGAATAATCTCACATTTACACTCTATCTTCTTTTTGTACTATGGAATCGTGAAATCTTACATTTAAAACCTTGATCCACTCAAGAAAAATTTTAAACCTAAAATCATACACGAATTGTGCCTTCAAATTTATTTTTATTTTTATATATGCAATATTGGTGTCATATGAAAGATAATAAAAAATCATGAATTTTGATATATATTTTATAACAAAACAGATTTTAAATCCAAAAGTTATATCAATTTTTAAAAAAGAGAGTTTTTTTTAAAAATGGGGGTCCCACCTTCACACGCTTACTACTCCATCTGTTGCTATTGTTCCGTACTCAGTTGGCGGCTTTCATCCGTTTTCCTAACCCTAGTTATTCTGGCAGTAGTTTGATATATATTTTTAACCAAACCATAATTATGTAAATAATTTATTGTTTACCATTATTTTTGAAAAAAACTCTATTTAGAGTAGTCAAATAAAAAAAGTTTGAAAAAGTCTTATTAAGACGGAGGAATATGTTTTTATAAAGAATAAACAATGGTTTTTAAATGCGGAAAAGTAATGATTTTTTTGAAAGTGATAAATGAGCTTCAAAATATTTATTATTCTCTCTGTCCATTGTTACTTCGTAATATTTTCTTTTCTGATTGTCCCAGAATATTTGACACTTTCTATTTTAATTAATCATTTTGTGATTTCTCTTATTGTTCTGAAAGTTATAAAGGATAAAGTTGTACTCCCTTCGTATTTAAAAGTTCATTACCATACGTTTGGACACACCATTTAAGAATGAAATAACATGGGTAATGAATAATGTAGAGAAAGGAGGAAAAGTGGAAAAGTATGAAAAAGAAGATAAAAAGTAGAAAAAGTAAGAATAAATAGATATTTTTAAAGATTTTTTTTCCAAAAAATGAAAGATGTAGTAAACTTTTAAATATATCCAAAAAAGAAGCTGCAACAAATTTTAAAATATGAAGGAGGGAGAGTATAAAAGGACAGTGTATGCCATTAGAAAACATAAGAATAGTGTATCTTAAAGGATAAAGTTGTACCAGCCGTATCTACTATCTAGCTGTTTGGATGGGTCTAATAGACTAATACGTAGTAGTATAATTTTGTTAAGAAGTTTAAAGTTCAGTACCCTATGACATCTAACAGTTAACCAAGGCATCAATACTTGCGTGGTAATTTTTTTTTGTTGGTAAAGACTTGTGTGGTAATTTGATAAAGTATAACTGACATCAAGTCCAATCTTGTTGAGTAATAAGAGATACTATGAATCATAAATCATACATGCTATCAATCAAATTGTATCTTAAACTCAATTTAACATTACTCATAAAATATTCAAACACTTCTGGGAGGTCTCCAGAATGGGATGCATTTTTTGTTAATAAACTATACTAGTTTGAACTCGATGCGTAAATTAACATAATTACAAGTTGGATCAAACGCATACACTGAGCATTAGAGTATATACTGGTATGATTTTTTTTTACAATCTCAAAATTAAAGGTATACACAATTTACTTTCAGTAATGTATCATTGACCACATGGATCAACTAACCGTGGAAGTAAGGAACTGGAACAAAATACCCATTGCAACTTGTACATGGTTACTATTCTACAGATCATCATCACGATTGATCGTTTGCCGCTCCTCATTTATCGTGTAAATCTCTCCCATCTGTACGCTAGTGGGTGTGGATGAACGACCGTTTGATGCCTCCTCATTTGGGGCTGCATTTGGAGTAACTTTCAACTCTTTCTTCCGTTTCGCCTTCTGAGCCCACTCGACTAGACCAGCCCGAACATGTTCATCGAATATCGACTTCTTGAAGTAGGTTCCCATCTGCACATTCCGTAACCGTTAAAACTACATATCCAACCACCTTGATAGTACATATCCACATTTTACCCACCACAAAAGATAAAAGCTTCCCCACTCATTAACATGCTTTTGAGGTAAGAAAGGCATGAGGGTCCTGTAATGCTAAAAGTTACCTACCTGTGTTACAATGGCATAAAGGGGCAATGTGCTATAGCTGCAAAGCACCTGAATGATAACTCTGGCAAAAAGGTGGCATCTCAAAATTTACTAGAAATAACTCTAAGGACAAATTGGGGAGCTAAGTAGATTCAGCTCCCCAATTTGTATTGTAGATATTAAAAATTGGAGTTTGGAGCTGACTTTTCCATTCAAATTTGAGTTTGTACCCTAACTTAAAAATCATTAATATTTGCACTCCAAAATTAGAAAAATATGTTAAAACTGAAGTGCAAACTCCAACCTGTAAGAAAAAGCGTGTAGTATGCACCCCACTTTTTCATCTAAATTCGAATTCACACCTTTTAAAAAACAATTTATATTTGCAACTGAAGTTCAATTTTTTTTGGCTAAAGGGTCATATAGGCCCTTGAACTAACTTAAAGTGTTCAATTAGCCCTTTATATAGGAGGTTCTGCCAGGCCGTCGCCAATTGGGGCGGTTCCCGGTGGAATCTTTTGATGAAATGTTTTGAGCATCTTCTTCATTAAGTCTAGATTACTCAATTACTCATACCAAATTTCAGCTAAAAATTCAATCGGGAAGGCAGCCAAATGATTTTTTGAAGATAACTGCGAAGTTAAACAACACAGTACATTTCAGAAAATCATTTGACTGCCTTTCTGGTTGAATTTTTAGCTGAAATTTGGTATGAGTAAACTAGACTTAATGAAGAAAATGCTCAAAAAATTTCATCAAAAAATTCCACCGGGAATCGCCCCAATTAGTGACAGCCGAGCAAAACCTGCTATACAAGAGGCTAATTGAACACTTTAAGTAAGTTCAAGGGCCTATTTGACCCTTTAGCCATTTTTTTTAATTAAAATAAGGGGCAAGCTCCAATTTGAAAGAAAAAAGGGAGTAAATCACAATTTTGGATGCAATATTAATAATTTTAAAAATTAGGTGAAAACTCATTTGTACATAAAATTGGGCTGCAAAGTACAATTGCCCTTAACTTTTGGAGTGCAAATATAAATGAAGTAAAACAGAAGGTCGGAAAATCAAATTTGGATGAAAAAGAAGTGTGACTCCAATTCCCTCATTTAAAAGTCAAGATAAATAAATACCCTATGAGAAGCCTGGGCACAATGTACTTGACTTGCCCCATTATGCAGGAGCCAAACCCATATTGCAGCTACAAAAGTGTTTAAAACATGGTTGGTTGTTGAGTTGACAATATTGAGTTATAATAAGGAAGTTGAGTTATCTATATTTCACTTTCATCTACATAATATAAATGAAATTAAAGAAATCAGGAAGTACTTGCCCATATCCAGAAGAAGAAGGCGATCTCAAAAGCGTTTTGGAAGAGAATAAAGTGTATGACGTTGAGAACGATTCGGGGGCGGTGAAACCAGAAATGATCATCAGAAGGCTGCACAACTAATTCACCCTCTATTGCTGCATGCTTCTCTGCAACCTCATGTGCCAATTGTATTATCACATGCTGCAACTTTGTACCTACAGCAAGTAGAAGCTGGGAAAAAAACAAAAATGAGTGAAAAGTAAAAGATAAAAAAATCAACAATTTGTTGAGTCATTTCACACTAGCTAAATATAAAGATACAAACTCATGTATAAAATCCAGCTAAATATAAAGATACAAACTCAAACTCGTCTACAGCTACTCATCCTATGTGGCTACATGGACGATGGAACCTCAAAACTTAATAAAATCATTACTTGTAGGTGGCATGAAATCATTACTCAGTAAGTAGCTAGTACTCTGTAGTATAATATGACTAGAATACCTCTATTAATGTTATAAGGTACTATGTACTCCCTACCATCTATAGATAGTTAAGGGAAATAGTGGAAAAAGATCAATTAATGTTCTCTTGATATTCTAAACAAGCAATTATTTAATGAGAATTTATTATTCTCTACAGCGACCAGTAAAAGAAAATAGAGGATTAGTAATTGATGTCACTCACGGCAAAAGGAATGAATGCTATCCAAAAATATGTATGCCATCCTGCAACAGTGAATCTATTCAATAAGTCCCATAACCAAACCATGATGGACTTGGGTTTAATTTGGATGACTACAGCACATGTAATCTAATGCGATCAAATTTCTATGTCATCCCGTATCAATCAAATACCAAAACATAAACTGCATATAGAACAGTTTCATACCGTTAATATTCAGCAACAAGAAGAAAATGACAAATAACCACAAATACCAACTGCAAAAATAAAGAAACTGTATAAGTTATGATGAAAGGATTGTTGCTAATTACTGAAAGAAAAACAACGTTAGATAGTGTGATTATCACTTGCCTAATGCCGACAACTTTCTTGAAATCATCTTCCAGTGCACGCATCATGTACTTGTGAAAATTAAACTTCGGATTCCCTCTGCAATGTGTCTGTATACAGAAATTACTATGACACATGCCAATGCAGATGCATCAATATAAATTATTAGAGATTTCACAGATAGTTAGTTACCATAATGAACCCCATACGAAGTGCTATATAATCTGACTTTGAGACAGAACCATAAAATTGCTTAGAGAAAGAGTGCTACAAAATGAAGGTAGATCAAAGTTATTTATTTAGGCAAAGAAATATGTAGCATTTCATTTTTCTATTGTACTAGTATTCCTTAAGCTTTAAAATCATATAAAAGCTGCCTATTAAGTCCATCAAACAATGGCTTAGCCGCTTAAAATTAAGGCTCCATTGGGCATCCTTACTAGCATAATAAGCAAAATAAGTAGCTTTTTGGCTCAAATGATGTTGAAAAAATTCAACCATTTCATCCAAACAACTCCTTACCATACGAGCCCTAAATTTATTGATCAATTTTAAAATTTTATTTTTCCCAAGTACATATATTCTAGTTTAACCGCTAAAGGATGTAAAAGAAAAACAGCATACCAACCAACCCCAGATGGTCGACCGTTTACCCACACCCACAAATCTAGTCCTGATGAAATCGTGGTGACAGACATCGGTCACTCCTGGTTGCAGATCTGCAAACAACCCCAATATTTTTACAAAAACACAGTTTAACGTAGCATTTTATGAACAAATCTTTATATTCTCAAGATGACTCAATGAAGAAATAAGGAGTAAAGAGTAAAAGACAAGTGAGGAACAATGTATGACAAACTTAACTTTTTTATGGAATGGGGGTAGTAAATGTTAAAAAAACATGCCAAGAACATCCCATACCAGGCCCAGTCTCAAAATTGGCTTCTGCAATTTCATCCTCCCAGTGCTTCCATTGGCGTACCTACATGCACAAGGAGTTGACATACATTTATATAACAAAAGTTGAAGAGTAGAATGTATAGTAGTTCTTGAATGTTTTAAGTTTGGGCTGATTACCTTTGCCCCTCCAATTAGAATGGTGAGGACAGTGAACACAAGGTGGACGATGGCCAAGACGAATATAAACATGTGGAGATGGTGTAATGCTTCTAGAGATAGTAATGGAACTTTATGCTGCAAAAACATGTATTGTATACATTGTTAGGCTGAACCAGCGTAAAAAAGTATATTTGACTCCCCTAGTGAAGTAACAATCCTGACTTATGACCAGTGGCACAGTCTAAGGATGAAGCAAAAAAAACATCTTGAAATATAAGCTCTACCCAGTGCAGTTTTGTAACGATTATTTAGCTGAAATGACTAATATTTATGAAAGGAAAAGCACTTAGCTATATACAACTCTAAGTTCTAGGTTTACAGTTGGCTTATACCACATATACACATAGCTAAAAGAACCATAACAACAATAAAGAACAAAGTGAAAAAAACTTCTTGAAGAGTTTATCCCACATTGGCTGGATATGAAATAATAAGCCAACACATAAGATCTTGGGTTACTCATCATGACTTTGTAGTGTACTTGTCTTGTTTTCTTACACTCAAGTTATCCTGTCCAGCATGAGATCAGATGCATTTAAGTGTTTCACATTGGATGTTTACCATATCTAAAACTAATACATAAGCATGGGATGAATCTTAGTTCTTGATATTTTTTTGGTGTGTGTTAGACCCAACACAACCGAACTACAACACATATAAGATAAAAAGCAATTTTTTACCTTCGCAACGCAATAACCAGTGCCTGGTACTCGCTCAGGAGGCAACTTCCAGCTATGGAACTCTTCGTCATGGGAAACAGGAGCCAATTCAGCAGCTAAAAAGGCTTCTTCCTGAGCTAAAGGGCAGGGGAGCATGTGATGCATTGTATTGGGGGGCACACATATCTTGTTTATGCGACCTTGGAACACAGTCAATAGCAATGACATGAACCCCAACAGCATCAACTCTGCACACACACACACACATATTTGCAAACAAAGTTCGAATCTTGATCCATAAATGAGGCAAGTTAAAAGAACTTAAACTCAAACAAGTTCTAATTGATACTTACGGGACATGATAGTTCTTTCTAATATATGTTGTAGTTTTGTTGTGCTGGGTTTAACTCACACAAAGAAAAACTTAAGAACTAAGATTGCTCCCATACTTATATACTCCGTACTAGTTTTAGATATGGTAAGCATCGGATGTGAAACACTTACACACGTCTCAGCTCATTCTGGAAGGGATAACTTGAGTGCTAGATAGTACACTACATCTCCCCTAAACTTGATAGGGCTAAACCAAGATCTTATATATTACTACATACTTTTTTATTTCATATCTAGCCTATGTGGGATAAACTCTTCATGAAGTTTCATTCACTTGGCTCTTTATTGTTTTTATGATTCTTTTAGTTATGTGTATGTGTGGTCATTTACAAGCGATTCAATTTGATCAGGACTTTACAGATACTCCGTACTACATATGAATTTCATGTTACCATACAGTTCCACTTACAAAATGTCTACGTTACCCTTCTTATCAAGTTGACATTTTTCGATGAAATGAATTTTAATGCTATGAACTACTAAAGAAAAAGGAATCTTCTAGTCCATCTGTGGAGGTTAAGTCAAACCGAATATTAAGATATAAGAAGTTCAACACTTCAACCTATAAGAGAAGTATTCTTAATACTTATTATTGAGTTTATTATAAATGCGGGATAGCTTAAATAGACACAAAGGGATAGACTCCACTCCATATTTTGTATTTGAATGTTTGGATTAATAATAAGAATAAAGAATGTGTGGGCGAATACAAAGTATGAACCTTCTTCAACTATCTGAAGAGCTTCGTACAGAGGCCTCTGATTCTTCTTCTTCAGATACTGAATTAAATGTTTGCAGTCAGCAGATTAGATTATTAGAGCATTTGCTGTTTTTTACTCAATAAGAAACAAAATAAGAGGTAAATTAAGACAACGATAGAGCAGGAACGTATTTAACCTCTCCGGTGAAGTGGAGAATGCGTTCTACGGCGAGGGAAATGGAGACGATGACGAAGCAGACGGCGGCCACCACCCACGTCGGCGAGTACTCCAACGTGAGATCCTCTTCCTCTCCGGCGGCACTCATTATTATTTATTTCTTCACCCCCAAACTGATTAATTAATGAAATCCAGAAACACACTTCAGCCACTGCTAGATCTTGGCGATGATTTTTTTTTTATGAAAAAAGTTCAAAAATCTTAAACAATGTTATAAAAGGGACTAAACTGGCATAAAAAACGTACATTAAATTAATTGGGATTGAAACGAACAGTCATATGTTGAATTTATTATTGATGTTTAATTGAAGAGAAGATGAAAGAAAAGGCATCGAAAGATTCTGGATTTGATGAGCGGGGGTCGTCGACGTACCTGCGACGACAGGGGACATGATGGATCCGACATTTTCGATTCAGTTGCTTCTTTTAACGTTAATAAAACATGCAGAAGCCAGCGGATATTTGTGTGTATTTTCCTGCTCTTTAATGCGCGCGTCAACTGCAAATTTACAAGAGTATACGGATTACGGACTACTTTCGCGGTTTGGACTTTGGAAGTTCTAAACTTGGTTCGTGTTGGGGCAATCCTCTTTCTCTTTGTTTTTTTAGATTTATCATTCAATTTGGATTTTACATAATAAGAAAAAGTAATGTTACAAGAATTTACGTTCTTGTGGATTTTACGTTCTAATTGTATTAAGGGAAATTTACCCACATATTACCAAAACTAGATAGAATTCTTAATCTATGACCTGGAATCTTTTTAATCGGTCGAATGACCAAAAATCGAAAAAAAAAACGGCCAAGTTTATTCCGTATTATTAAAGTACGAAAATACCCCCAAAAAGGAAACAAACGTGCATTGAGATTCTTCGAGAAGTCATTGGGCAAAGTAAAATTTCGGCTGAGCGGGTTTTTTCAGAGTTCGGATTATGGAAGGAGTTAAATGCTAAAACTGCCTTCAGTTAATGAGAGCGATGAAGGAGAATTGGTAAAAACGACAGCCGGAACTCATAAGCTACAGAGCGGAAGAAGGAAGACGAACGATGGTGAAGAAAAAAGGGAACTCTCGACGAAACAACGATGATGAATTGGACTACGAAATCGTCAAAATCAACGGCGTGGTTAGTTTTTATAATTTTTTTTGAGTTCGTGAAGTAATTACATATTAATGCTTCAATGCAGTGTTTTAACGATCATTTCTGTGAGCGAATTCATTACTTATGCGACTTGAATGCATGCATTGATGTTGTTTGAAAATGAGTGTATATTGTTGTTGTTTAGTTCGTGTATTGTTGAGTAATTTGGAAATACAGATTGAAATATGAGTTTCACTACACTTAATCTAATTTTTGGATGTTTAAATTTTCAAATTCAGAAAAGTAATTGTGTGGATTGAAATGCAGATTGAAATAGTGTTTGTTTTATTGTCATAGATCAGTCTAAATGCGTGTATTTGTTGAATGTATTATGGTACTTAGTACTCTGTGCAGCGAATCAGATACAATTCAATCTGTGATTTGAATCAATGTAGATTGTCTTTGTAGTTGACTCATTTGGAAATATGGCTTTCACTGCATGTAATTGAATTGTTTTTTATTTGTTGAAATTGTAAACTGACTAACTACATTTGTGCATTGAGGAAGTTGAAAACTGAGCTAAGTTAGTGCATTGAACTCTATTATTTATTTTAGTGTGATATATATCGTTGCATGTAGTGTTAGCATGTGGTATATGTATGCCATTTTTGTTACATCTTAGAGTGTTACATCTTAGAGTATATGTAAATTTTAAGGTTTTTTAGGGAACTTAGTAGTGTGTGGTGTTAATTGGAACCTGCAGTAAGAATGAAAACATGATATGCGGTTATTGTGGATCTTTAATTATATTAAGTAATTCAAAAAACATTTTGTAGTTTCATTATTGGAGGTGTTAACTTGTATTTATGTATATTGTCCTAGGCATATAAGCGCTACTGTAATGCTGAAGTTCTGGAGACAAGAGACGACATGAGAGTTAGTAGTTTCTGCAATCCAGTGAAGGCTGTTGAAAGTATTAAGAGTGTATTGACTGAAGAAGAAATGAAACTGTTTAGGGAGACTGTATTTGGATACATGTTAGATGTAGGAAATCTGAAATGGTTAAATGCACAACTGATATCCATGCTGATAGGAAATCATGTCGCACCTGTGGAAGAGATGACTGTTATGAATGAAATTCAGTTTCAAATTGGAGAAAGAGTAGTAGGAATGAAGAAAAAAGACCTAGCCTTGATAACAGGATTTGAGTTTGGGAGAAACATACCAGCTATGAGTACTCGTTGCGATGGGGAACTGTGGAGAAGGCACTTTAGTGGAAAGACAAGTCTTGACCGGGGAGACCTACGGCAAGCGTTTGAATCCATTAATAATAGAAGAGAAGACATGCAACCATTAGATGCGGTGAAGTTAGCATTGTTGCATGTTCTTGGCAACTACATACTAGGTAACCAGAAATCACTCAAAGTGCCTACAACTTACATCAACCTGGTAGATGACCTTGATGCATTCAATAAGTTTCCATGGGGTGATATCGTGTGGTCTGATTTGGTTGATAAGGTTCCGAAGTGTGCAGCAATATTGGGGGAGGGAAAGAGCACTAGGGTGACATTCCCTGGATATGTATTTGCCCTGCAAATATGGGGTTTTGAGACTTTTCCTGAACTGAACAGAGCGAGAGTGTGCTTGAAAAGGCCTGAAACTTACTGGCCAAGGACATTGAATTGGTCTGTCACATCAAAGCCATCATCTGTGGTTTTTGCAGAGATTATTTTCAATAATCCAGAGGTAAATTTTTTTATTCATATGTATTTTATAATGGTTGTGATACATGTTGATTATGTTTAATGCATTTTGGTGATTATGATGTGTGGTCATTAATTGAAATGAAAATCTGGAATTTGCAGTTTCAATGGGAAGAGATGAAACCAACAGAGGAGGAGTTAGAAGAGACATGTGTTGCACATGCTTTGGAGAAAATAAGCAGTGAAGAAGCTTCTTCACAGCCAGTCAAGAAAGCAAGAAGAAAGGCTACAAATGGCAGTTGTAAAGTTCGGAAGGGGAGTGTAAAGAGGAGAAAAAACGAAAAGGATGATGTTGATGAAGATCCATCTGGTGAAGATAGCGAAGGGAAGAAAATAAGACAAAGGGGAATCAAGAATATTTTAAGAGAAGTGAGAGCACAGGGTGAAAGAATTGAGAAAGTTGAGAGGGCAGTTACCAAACTCTGTGAATTACAAGTGAAGCATGCAAGCATGATTAAAAAGCTGTTGGTGAATGCAAAAAATGGAAAGGTCGCTGTAAGCAGAAGGTTTCCCTTGATCAGGAAAAGAAAAGAAGTCAGAGATGTGGACATTCCATCATTTGAACTTGCACCAGAGTTCAACAATGGAAGTGAAGACGATGAAGAACAGAAAAGTGAAGAGCTACATGAAGCGGAGCACGAGAAGAGTAATGACAAAGCTGAAGAGACCGAAGATAGAAATGGAACAAAGGATGAAATGGCAGCATCTGAAGTGCAGACAGACTGGGGAGATGGATTTGAAGATCCAATCAATACCCAAGTATTGGTTAATGCAGTGGATGAAATATTGGAAAATATGATTGTTAATAACAAAGTTGACAATACATCAAAAGGAACTGAAGCCGTGGATGCAGCGAACATTGAGGTTCCAGTCGTTCAAAACTGTGAAGATATCCAGAAGAATGGGGTATGTTTTAATCAAATGCAGTTAAATTTTTCCTATTTTGCTATTGCTATATTGTAGTAATATTATTTAATTAATTTGTATTAAACTTTAGGTAAAAAGTGCTGAAGCAGAGAGAGTCGAAGTCGTGATTACTGAGCAACCAAACGGTGAGAAATGTGATGATCTCCAAAAGAAGGATGGGGTTGAGGTATATTATTTGTCAAAATATGCTAATAATAAATTGTAATTACATGCATGTAAGCTTCTGCAGATTTAATGTATCACTAGTATTCTGGTATATTATGTTTCACTACTAGAAAAAAGCTTATTTGCTGCGGTTGTTTTGACTTATTTGCTGCGGTTCCTAACCGCAGCAATTGAAGGAGCAGCAATATGTGGATTTACTTATTTGCTGCGGTTGTGAACCGCAGCAAATACTAATTCATAATTTTTTTAAAATACTTTTTGCGGCGGTCAGTCAACGACCGCAGCACATACCATCATAAATTCAAATATTGCGGTGCTCTTTTAAAGCCAGTCAGTTTTGGTCTACAACACCGACACCTGCTCTGTTTGTTACTTGGACATAGACATATTTACACCATAATTTACAAAGAAACAAGTCTCCACTGTATTTCATAAACCATCAACAGTATCACTTATAATATATTACGGAGTACAAATATACATCATATCCCATACAACTATAAAATCTTTATATGTATTAAAAAAAGGACCGTATGGGAAAACTATTCCCTATACAAAATCTATGACGCCATCGTGATGTCATTTGCAACATCAAATGCCGGATAAGGCTGCAGAAATAGCTTGATAGTTTCCCCTATCAAGCCCGTCCTAAATTCACCTGCCTCATCACTATCATTTATATGGTTCGACTTTAGCATCCAAAGCTCATTCAGGAATCAGGACCTGAAAAACACATATGTACTTTATTACTATATATTTCTATATATTTTATAGTTAACTCTTATGATTACTAATTTATTCAATATTCAATATTTTTCTCTTAATTTTGCCTTGAGATCTGAAGATGAGGTTGCATGTTCACACTAACTTCCTAAAAGTGGCGTAACAAAGAGAATCCATGTATCTTTTTTCTGTTCAATATAGAAGATAAAATTAAACAAGTAAAAACCAGTACAAATATTAGGGATTATAAAAAAAATTTAAAATTGTCACTGATGGTACAAAAAAAATTGTGTTAATATAATTTATAAATCACATATAGGTTGTTAAAAATAACTCAAACTTTTATTGTTCCTTAGTTTTACACAAAATGATTTAACGTCAATTTTTCAGTCACAAATATACACAATGTGATTAACCTCTGATATATGTATAATATAATATACTACAAAAAGTGCATATGAGTAGTTGAAATCTTTTAAAGGGTGAGTATAATATGTGCTCTTAATATAATAAGTACTCATGTAGCAGCCTTACATAAAATAAGAGTACAATATACTTAAGGTTATATAATAACAGACATTTATTATCATGTTATTATATCTACTTAAGATATTGCATTTATTTACATGTAAACAAATATAAATTGTTCTAATGACATATTAGCTCAGATCTAAAGATTTAAGAAATAAATAAGCCCAAATCACTCAAAAAATGATTGAAGTGTGCATATAAAAGTACTATTAAGTACACCGTTGTAGTATATAGAAACAAAACAAAATACTCCCAAAGGAGTTAAGCATAGACAAAGTTAACAAATAGTCCTGTAAAACATAGACAAAGTTGACAAATAGGACTTGTTCTATTTTATTCCCAAAAAAGACCTTATTGAGTCCCTATACACAATGAAAATAATCAAGTTCCCCTTTCAGGAGGAGATCAATAGTGTGTTAGGAAGAAAATAATGATGGTGCTATTTGAGTAACTTTAAGTGACACCAAATAGGTTCTTATTTAATTATAGTGTATACATATGTCATAGGAGATCAGGAGTGGCAATTTAAGTGACACCAAATAGGTTCTTATTTAATTATAGTGTATACATATGTCATAGGAGTTACGTAATTGGTTATAATCCCATCGGTAAGATTTTAAGTACATAAAACTAAGTGGTTACTGACACATAATTATTCATAATAGACACAGGATGATTTCAATAAAACATTCAAGATCAAAACTATTTGAGAACTTACTATGCGTCATCAGCCATCGCGAATCTGGCGGAGTGAGTTTCTAGGATAAGACATGCTGAAACAACCTGAAATCAATTTGAAGATAAAAAAACAGGATGCAAAATGAAACTTCCACACAAACAACAAACCCAACTTGAAAGTTGAAACCCTATTACCAAACCTTTTTAGCAGCAGAAGAATTCCTATTAGCAACCTGAAAAAAAAACAAGGAAAACTGCACAGAACCCATGGCTACACTACATCACTTGGTTTGAAAGTGTCATTGTTTTGCTAAAAAAACGAAGTGTGCACGTAATATTATAAAGTCAAATGCATGAATAATGTAAAACCCTTAGGCTAGACACCCTCTTCTCCAACAAAAGGTCATGGTTCAAGAATTTTTAGGGGTCCAAGAACTTCCCAATTTGCAGCGGTTTTAGTCAATTATTCCAATCAATCTTGAAAATAAGATTTAGGGGTGTAACTGTGTAAGAGCTTGTAGGTTGATCGACTTGATTCATTCACATTAGTTTTATGCTAATTGAGAGCAAAAGCATACGGTAAAGAAGAAGATCTGGTATTCTCCTCCGAAGTTGTGTTTGTTATATTTTGCCACTTTTACCTTTCTCATGCTCTTAAATTCATGTTTACACTTCACAAAGGTAACATTCTAACCCCATCACTGTTAGAAATGTCTCCAGATGCATCTAAGAAGGAAGGATTAGGGGCGAACCTGAATACCCAAATGCGAAGTCCTGAACTTAAAAGGAAAAAAAAGTTGTCGGATTAATTAGAATACCAAAAACCTCAATTTATAAAAACATAAACACCAATTCTACCAATACATTCACAGAAATAATAACCTAAAAATTGATAAAATTCAATAAATTGAACGATTTGACAAATGGTTAGAAATTAAACCTCTATTGAGTAAACAAGGTCCAGAGAAGGTGGAGATGAGTACGAAGACTCTACTGGGATGGGGGGCAGAGAGTGGTGTGCTGCGCGAGATGGTCGTGGCTGAGAAGGGCGGAGTAGACGGACGTACCGCTTGAGTAGGCGGGGGCTTGCCTATGGAGACGGCTGGTTGGAGCGACAAAGCTCTCCTACACAGACGGCGGCGACGTTCAGTTGCAACGACGATGGTGATGTGCGGCTCAGCGGCTGGAACGAAGAAGTTGAATGATGGCCACGCTTTTAGCAGACGCTGTGCAAGGGTTATCTGATCTCAAGGGTATATGGATGCGGTTACACCTTACAACACACTTGCAGCTAAAGATAAAACAGTTTTTTCTTTTTTGATTTTATATTTGATGCGTGCGATTGAAATTTTAGGTTCAATTGCTGCGGTTAAATAAAGCCCGCAGCCAATAGTCTTGTTTTGGGGGGAATATTGCTGCGGTTGCTATTCAACCGACGCAAATACTTAAAAATCTTCATTTATTGCTGCGGTTCGTCCAATGACCGCAGCAAAAGGGGTGCAGCAAATGACAAAAAATCTAGTAGTGTTTTAAGTAATTCATATTATAATTTAGATGAATGACGGTGCATTTGAAGACGTTGAGAAAAGGCCAATGAGAGATACTAAAGCACCAAACAGGTTGTCTTTGTCTGGGCCCGGAAACGGGAAAAGAAGGAAGAAGGATGCTGCAAGAAATGAGCTAAAAAAGGCAGTAGTGAGAGGGCCTCTGACATTAGACCCAAAACAGCAGCCAAGTGATAAGTTGTAAGAAATTATAATTAATTTCATGTATGCAGGGCTACTAAAAAATCACGAAAAGTCTGGCGTGAAGAAATATAATGCAAAACATGAAATGCTGAAATTGAGAAACATGACACCGTTGTGGAATGATGGAAGACTGACAAGCAAGTCATGGTACTACGCCATATGGTTTCAGGGGAATTGGATAAAAGACACAGTAAGTATATCTATTTTCTTTATTAATTTTTAAATAATGTTAAGATTGAGTATTAATACTACTTATCATGATTTCAATTACACAGCACATTGATGTCGTACTATACTACCTGCGAGTCAAAGCACAAGAATACTCCCTGAAGCAGAAGTTCACCACAACGGACTGTTATTTCACAACACTGGTGAAACAACACCATGAGCTGATTATGAGGAATGAAAGCACCCTAGAAGAATCTGTACACAACAAAAGTATCGTGGGAGCAATACTTGGGACAAATGTGCCTTACGGCCTACCATGGGCAGAGTGTGAGCATGTCTACATGCCGATGAATATCGGCAATCACTGGGTTCTACTTGTGCTTGATGTGGAAGAAAAGCGTATTAGAATTTATGACTCCAATAGCCGCCTTGGAACACCAAGTAGAAAATTGAGTGAGTTTTTGCCCTCTTTTGAAATTCATTTAGGAAAACTAATGGATTGGTGCAGAGTGTACGAAGAGCGTGGTGAACAGCCAATTGGAGATGGGAAACTGGGATGGGTTATGGTATCTAGTCCACAACAAAATGATGGGTAAGTGCATTAAATTACTTACAAATAAAATGTGTAATGGTACATAATTAACATTGTAAATTATTTCAAATGTGCAGGGATAGTTGTGGGCTATTTGTTCTTAAAATGGCTGAGTACTTAATGATGGGAAGAGATCCTAAAGAAGTGAATTCCAGGGACATGTGGACTTATAGGAAGAAACTGGTGACTGAGATCTTGCATTACAATGGACTGGTGACTGTCGATGGCATTGAATGAATGTGTTTGAGAAATATGTAATGAAGTGAAATTTGGTTTTTGTTGGTCTGCTTTATCCTGATTAAGCTAAAGCTTGGTTGTACTAAGAATTAATATGGTTTTTGTTGGTTGATCTGCTTTATTTTGATGAAACTGAAATTTGGGTGTATTACGAATTAGTATGGTTTTGGTTTGGAATGAACATAAGATTGATTTTGAAGTAATGAATGTTTTGCATTGAAAAGTGTGGTTAATATGCAATGCCACTGTTTCCACAATTAAGGGTTCACAAATTGTTTATAGTGATGTAATGCTGTAGTGGAAGGCATAACATTAATGCACATAATTAGGACATTTGGTAATAGTTAATGTGAGGTAAACAAATAAATACATTCATTTAATGAAAATAACATTGTAGTAATGAAATTTAGTTTTAGCATGTTAGATATATTTATTTTTTAAAAATCTTTTCTTTCAACCATACATGTAAAGAATAGAATATTTATCTATTTGATAAAGAACGCATGATAAAACTGATAAGTCCAAACCAAGGTTATCAAATAGACTCTTAGTATATGAATATGATTATTCACCTCAAAGTTAATATATAATACAAGATCAATTACCATATTTGATTGCCAAAGAGAGCTATCATTTATAAAAAATGGTATTCAATGCAGATGCATACTGCAATCCATCAAAAGAAGAGGGGAAATCAATAATTTATTCAATGACACATATAATCAAAAGAACATGTGTATAGTTACACACCCACTTATTTTGATTGAATACATAAACACGTAACTGAGAGTTAACATTTGCATTTATGGACATCAATGCAGAAAGAAACTGCATGTATTACTGCAATCCGTAACTACAAACTTTATTCAAAGAGTGAAATTAGTAGCAGAACATATGTATCCCTTCTCACCTGAATACAATTGACTAGAAGTGGGAAAAATATAAAGCGTAACTCAAGAGTAAAACTAAACAAGTAAAAAATATTCAACATTAGGAGCGAGTGCGAGGAATGGGGTTTCGGCATGTCTTCCTATTGTGACCAACCATTGAGCAACGTGTACACTTTTGTCGACGCACATGTTCACCGAATCACCGGTAGATGGAATACGTCGCTTCTTGGGTCTTGCAGGAGGTCTCTTAGAACAAGATGGAGGGCTGCAAATGATTTGTGATACGTCATGGGGAACAACCCAACAATCGGGACTACCGATGGGATGAATGATGCCCTCGTAAGCTGAAAACCATTTCTGTGTAGTATAATATTCAGGAATGTAGTCATAAGCAGAAAGTCCCGGACGAGAACGGATTGCAGCGATGGCATGAACACATATGAAGCCATCAAGTTCAAATTCACGGCATGTACAAGTCCCTTCTCTTAAATTGACAACATATGATCTTCCTTTCACATCAAAGACCTCAAATTCAAAGATACATGATGGCTTGACCTATAAAAAAAATACAAAAACATAGAACTGGTAACATAAAGCAGAACCTGATCATTTAATACAAAAATAAAAAACCAAAATGCAATACAGTATGAATGCAGTAAAGTACCTGCATTAATGCAACATTTGATTGCGATAGCCGTAATTGCGCCTCAAAGTAAGCAGAGAGTCGAGATCTGTTTGATGCAGCTTCTTCTCTGCGTTCACAGAACCATGTTTGCATTGTGCGTACTATAAACTCAATCAACTTGCAGATGGGATACTCACGAGCCGTGACAAAAACAGCATTCAAAGACTCCGCATTGTTAGACATCATCACAGAATAACGGTTGCGGCTAGCATATGCACGAGACCACTTCTCATTACCAATCTTTTGCAAGTACGTACGTATACGCGGGTCATCATAATCAAGCCTGGAAAGATACTCTTCACATTCATAAACAGAACCCGCTCTCGCTGCTTGTAAGAATTTCCAAGACAACACCTTTGCAGAACCTTTAAACTTGGATTTTATATTGCCTAATATGTGATAAACACAATATCCATGTTCCGCATATGGAAAGACAGAATGAACGGCATTTATAATTCCTTCATGCCGATCAGACACGATATACAAACCATTTCTATGGTTGAGACAATTCTTCAACATGTTGAAAAACCAAGTCCAGTTATCAGTATTTTCAACACTGCAAATAGCAAATGCAAGTGTTCCCTTGTAATACGATTTCAAAAACGATCCATCAACAACAATAACTGGAATGCACTTCTCCCATCCACGTCTCCATGGACCAAGAGACATAAAAAAGTTCTGAAATTCTCCAGTTTCAGTACAAGAATATGAAACAATCGAATCTGGATTTGCTTTATCAAGCATGTAGCACAAAGAAGGAAGTCTATTGTACGACTCCTTCTCAGATCCCCGAGCCAATTTCAATGCAATTTCCCTTGCAACCCAAGCCTTTTTATATGACATGACAATTCCATGCAATCTTTTCATATCTCTCATGATTGAATGAGGTGTGTAAGCTCTTTTGGACAAGTCATCAAATTCATGCTTGATCAGTTCAGCAATAAGAGAGGAAGAAGCCTGGCGACTATTAGCTTGTCTAATATCAATGGGACAAGTATGATCGTTATCAAATCTGAAAATGAAGAAGTACAGATGGCATTAACAGCATGTAATGACGCATTAATTGAGATGCATAAATTTTGTCCAAATAATGACAACTAACTACAACGAAAATATGGAACTTCAAAAGCCTGGCAAAGTGAAAGTGAAAAAACAACATAACTAAACAATTTCAATACAGAAATAGAAATGTAAAAATGATATAATTTATTGAGTAATTGCAGTGTATAATTTAATGCAGATAGTCACAACAAACTGCATAAAAAATATGCAACTTCACATGGATGTTCAAGTAAAAAAACAACATATAAGGTCTAAATATTGTCATTAGCTGCAGCTAAGAAGTGCAATAACATTGCATTAAATAATGTAATGTAAACAGTAAGCAAAAAACGTAGGAGAAGATGACTAAAACAAATACATAACCAAAGAAAAGAAATCACTAACCTACGCACTTGAAACAAGCCACTTTCATCCAAGAGAACTCCACGAACAGCCCACAGACAAGCAGGATCCACACAAATAACATGTAACACCTTAGGAGAAGATGACTTTGTTCGGTATTGGAAAAAATTAGTTATTGCATACATCTTCAAGTTAAAACTAAAATCCTTCTTGCTTTCATATATTGCGTCCAGAGCAAGACGAGTGGGGTCAAAGTGGGGAACAACAGAACACAGAGGAACCTCAACCGAAGATATGAAGTCATCATTCATAACATCTTCATCAAAAGACGAAGGGCTGAAATCAGAATCCTCCAAAACATCACTACAGTGCATTGTTTGTTGGTCTGTTGCTGCTAATATTTCGGAATCCTCAAAACCATCCAAAACTTCATCATCCGAAAAAGAGTAATTAATCGTGTTTGACACACTTTCAGTACATCCTTTGAAATCAAAAAAAAAAAATTACAGATAATACATATAATTTGAAAACTAAATTTATATAGTTAAATTGCAAGTGAAAGATAAAACCAGGGGAGAAATATTTGACTAACCTTGAAACGGGGGAACAAACTCTACACAAAGAGGAAGTTGGTTTAAGTCCGATTGAATGATTTTCATCTGAAGATAAAAACTGAAGCTGGAATCGTCATTGATGATAAGCGGTGGAGGACATGCTTGAAACACATATGAAATACGTATAGCACGAACAGGATCTCTTAGGCCCAACGAATTGTATACAATTCCACAAAATTCAATCCACTTGCAACAGAAAGGAATTTCAATGGCGATGGAGGTTGCGCTCTGAAATTGAATGTTGGACAACCACTGGCCATCTACGTTCATCAAGACATGTATGATTGGAGAAGGATTTGGAGAAGAAACGATTTCCATAATCTCCGAAACAGGAAGAATGAATAGAAGAAGCGAAGAATTATTTAGAATTCATCGAAACAAGCTGAAGAGAAGGAAGGTTGAAGACGAGAGCGAACAGGAATGAAAAACGGTTACCTAATTTAGAAGATTTTGAAATAAATTCTTAAACAGAATTGGTATAAAGATGCGCTGACCGTAGGGTTGACTGAAGGGTAGGGATGGAATAATAAAAAATTCAGCGGATGGGATGCTTATGATCTATGATTCGGGTAACATAAATTAGGAAAAAAAACTGGGAGGTCATATTTCGAGAAACTTAAGGACTTCTAGTCATACTAGGGACAAATATCTCTTGTATTAACTGAAATTATTGTAGAAGATCATTTTAACTATTTTCATGTAATTGTTTCTTTACTTTATTAATAAAGTATACTCGTATTTCATATATACGGAGTACTTTTTCCATAAATCAACAGATTCTGCTAATTCAACCACTTCAACTGAAACTTCATAAATTTCAGCAAAATTAGCTGATTCAACCGATTTGAGTATTTTCAAACGGACTCTTACATTTAACCATAAAAACTTCAAATTTTATGCTTTTTTGTTTTTAATTACTAATAGCACTTGATTATTTTCACACTCTTATCCAAACATTTGCGGCCGTGAGCAGTGTCAATGTGCCCAGGGGCGGAGCCAGAAAAATGACTCACCGGGGTCGAAATCAAATTTACATAGAATCAAAACGGTAGATTATTTTTAGACAATACACGAATTGAATGTAGTTTAGATAAATGATAGTTTAAATGAAACTAATAGAGTATATGTAATTAATATACTTCGTATATGTCACATATATTATAAACTTGTTTTATACGGGTTGAGTTGAGTACCTCAAATGAGACCCATTGTCTTACCCTAGTATTCTATGGTTCTCTTCGATCTTACTCAGTTTAGTATCTCAAGATTTCTCACTAGAAAAGAATCATTTATTGAGTAGGCACTCGTAGTAGTAAGATATGTTGTCTTTGCTCTGTCCCTAAGTTGTGTCACGTAAGTGACGAGTGAATTACACGCTATTTTGTAAATATAATTAATATTACGCATCACAATTTTACTAATTTCAAACTTAAATAGTGCTGATTTTGCATAAGTCATAACTTTTTACTCGTAATGAGTTACGAGAGCCATAATATATCAAATCGAAGATATTTCAAAGCTCTACACTCTTAAATTTTCAGCAGGGTCGGCTGTCCACCCTGACCCCTAGCAGCTCCGCCCCTGAATGTGCCATTGATCTTGAACGAACCTAACGTGTGATTGCCACGCACCGGAATCACTGTCATGGAGTGACTACGAGGTCAAGGTTTAGAAGTTTGCGTTGTTCATTCATTTCTTTTATTGTTCTGTCATACTATTTTATTCCAATAACGTCAGTGTGTTGTGGGTGAAGTTTGGGGACCGAGAGTTTTGATATTATGTGAGTGAAGTATTTTGACTTTTAATTTATGATTGATTGTTGCTTTAAATCTCTGGCATGTTCATCAAACGGTATTGTTATGTTCTTTTGATGATGGGCTCTTCACGCCTGATCAGAGAGTGAGGGGTAGGACAAAGACCGGTTCGGTTCTTACTTTAAATTGGTGGTACCGTTAAAAAATTTAACTATTGAAATCGGTTCGGTTGTTATGTAAAAAATCAAGAACTATTATGGAACCGAACCAATACTAAACGGTTCGGTTCTTGCTTTTATCGATTTCTCGAATAATTGTTTTCTTATCTAGTGAATTAGCACATTATTTGCTTTCTACCTCATAAATATGTAAAAAAAATCAAAACACAAGTACTAAAATTTTATTTAAAGTTCTGATCACTTCAAACATCAAAGCTCAAACTTAACCAAGTGAACACTTAATAGAATAAAAGAATAATTCAATTTTCGGTCATTTAATAAGTAGAACATAAAAATCTTTGTTGTGTGATAACAATGAAGGTTGGTCATAATCACAGTAGAAAGATAGGACGTCCACTTCGAGTCTTTCAAAACATAAAAAATAAATTGAGATCGCGTGTATATATAGATATAAAAGCATCATTACAGTATGTTTGCTAGTAGTATAATTTACAATAAATCTAATAGCTACAAACTTACAAATTAAATACCATGATGATAGTGAAGTAAAATATATGCAATCAACTACAAGTTATTTGAGTTATTTTATATTTATAAAATTTATGGGATGTAACAAAACTTGATTTGTAAGGATGAGCTTAATGCATTCAATCTCATGTGCAATGTTGAATACTTTTGTTTTTGTTGGTTAAATTACAATAGTTGGCTAAATACCATTGATTGCACTACTATTGTTATTCTTGATATTATTGCTATTACTATCACTACTACAATTACAATTTTTATTTTTACTAACGGTCCGAACAGTTAACAACTAATACCACATTTAGTGGCGGACCCAGAGATTTGTCAGAGCAGGGGCACACTAGACACTAAACTTACTCTATAATAAAATTTTCAAATGTAATAACGATGGAAAAAAGTAAGGCAATAGCATAAATTATACGGAGTAGTTTTTTTTTTACTCCAGGGGGTCTGGGGGGAGCCTGGAGTAATCAGGGTTGAAACTGACTCCATTGAGTTTCAAACCCTTTTGTGTCTAGCGGGATTCGAACTCGAGACCTCCCACTTGGCATGGTAACCTCGCAACCAGCTGGGCTGGAATGCTTGGTTATTATACGGAGTAGTTAATTACATATTAAATAGTTCATTTCTGCAACTTTGGTATATCAAGCCTATGAGTTTTCATATTCTGAAAATGTTGGTAAATCTGTAAGATAATCATCTCTCATCTTATTGTGAAGATCTGTCTTGATAATATTCATCGCAGAGAAGACTCTTTCAACGGTGGCTGTTGCAACTGGTAATACTAAAGCCAACTCAATCAGACGATATACCAAGTGAAAAGAATTGTGAACTTTAAGCTCAAACATCTTTTTGCAGACTTCACCAATAGTCTGTACGACAGAAAATAATTAATTTGTTCTCATTTCATAAATCCACACCTGGAGTTACTTTTTCAGCTCCATTCGATCAACAGATGAAAAATCGCATGAATATAATTCCGCGAGGTTCAGTAGTTTTGACTCACAGAAATTGGAGAACTTATCTCTAGGATCAAGACATGCTAAACCCGGTCCTCACAAATACATCATCTCCAAATCTCTCCCCTTTTACCCCGTGGAAAAGGTAACACCGAAAGCAAAATGCAGCATCTTTAGAAATACTATATTCCAAATTTCCAACCATTCCCAACTTTTAAACCACTCTGCTTGAAAACATCTTTTTTTTTTTCAAATTAAGTTCGTGGAAAATCATGAGACAACGGTTGACAAGCACCTTTAATGACATACGCACTCATCACGTTATCTCTTACTCGAGGCTCATATTCAATGGTTGGCTTTCATAATGCGGGATCGCTAATGATATCCCACTCACACATATTATTTGTGCGGGCTCTTTTGTCTCCCCTGGTGTCATTAGACTCATCTCGGACAATACTTACATTCGGAGCAACAACATTTGCATCGCTTGAGATAGACTGATTAGGAACGTTCGAAGAATTATCCCCTCGAGTTAAAGACCTCTTAGTCCGAATTACAAAGTTATCCAAACTCATGTTCCTAATTTATATAACCGTAACATTTTAGTATCTTGATTATCTAATACTAATAATTTTTTGTACGGGTTGGGGCACTAATTTTACCCGAAGTAGTAGTAGTGGAATTTTTGGTCGGAAGCAGAGGCACCTATTTTACCCTAAGTACTAGTAGTGAAATTCTTGGCCGGAAGCCGGGGCACTTGCCTCGGTAGGCCCCCCTAGGCCCTCCACTGACCACATTTGTAGGAACCGAACCAGATTATAGCGGTTCGGTTCGATCGGTTCTACGGTTCCTGGTTCCGAAATCCCACCCCTAGTGAGGGGGTGCTTGAACTATTATTTATTGATAAAAATCAAGCATTTCTCTTTTCATAAGAACAGAAAAATAAAATCAACGGTATGAACCGTTGCCCGATAATCAACGATAAATAAATACCGTTGCCCAAAGCCAAAAGGCTAAACCAACTTTTATTCCAAGATTATGAGAATGAACCCTGGCGAGGGGTATAAATAGCCTTCTACAAGCAACCCTAATCAAGCCCAAATTAATTAAATCCTAATTAGGCCCATACTACTCTACTAACTATTCTACTAATAAAAGGCCCAAACCAAAACATAACATTAACTTAAAATAATAATAAATAATTATAAAGACAGCCCGTAACCGGCCCACGGAAGTGGGCCCAAGCCCGGTCCCGCCACAAGCTCTTCCCGCTTCATATCAATAACATTGTGTTTTTTGAACGACATTATAAAAATGAGAAAATCTATTAGTTAAAGTTGTTTGATTGTCAAAAGAAGGTTGTTATCATCGGCGATTGAAAGATTGAAAAGAAACATAATACAGTATAAATCGCAAAGATAAAATAATACTAAAAAATAATTTTTCAATGATGTAAAGCTCGTATTAGTTTTAGATATGGTAACATTGGTAAGCATCATATATGAAACACTTGAACACATCTCAACTCATTCTGGACGGGATAATTGACTTGAGTGCTAGATAAGTACACTATAGCTCCCCCTAAACTTGATAGGGAGTAACACAACATCTTACTCCCTCCGTCCCAATTTGATAGTCTCGTAGCAATTTACGGTGTTTGACTGACGATAAAGCAAACTGATCCCTGTCAACAACCAAATTATTTGTAGTAAATAAAATTTACATATTCAGAAAGCACATTAAAAGTTTTACAAAGTCGGGAAAAATCAAATTTAATAAAAACTAGATATATAAAGTACTCTGTAAAAGATTAATAGTGGTTTATGTTAACCAAGTGAATAAGATACAAGACCATCAAATAGGGACGTACGTATTATATGTTATTTTGTTATTCCATATCAAGCCAATGTGGGATAAACTCTTCAAGAAGTTTCATCCACT